GGGCCAGGGGGCTCACCAAACACCAGTTGCTATTCGCACGGGGTTGTAGCAGCACGACGGCCCCAAAGGCTCCCAAAATCGGCCCCAAACGGCCCAAGAGGCCCCCAAGACGGCCTGAAGAGAGCTTCAAGCAGAATTGGAAAACTCCTAGACGGCCCAAGAGAGTCCCCAAGAACCCGAGGGGGCCACCGGAGGATCCCGACATGGTCGGAGAGGGCCCCAAGAGGCCCCAAGACGGGCTCAGCTCCGCATGACGGGCCAAGAGGGACCCGGGACGGCCGAACTGGGCTCCCAGACCAGGCCAAAAAAGGCCCAAAAAGGATTCCGTCAAGACGGTCCAAGAGGCAGCCGACAAGGCCACCCAAGGGAAAAAATCAACCATTTGATGAAAAAAACATATATTTCCGGGATAGTCCTTTTTTCACTCCTAACAGCACGACGGCCCCAAAGTCTCCCCAAATCGGCCCCAGACGGCCCAAGAGGCCCCCACGAGGGGCCCAAGACGGCCTGAAGAGAGTTCCAAGCAGCACAAGAGAGTTCAAAACGGCCCAAGAGAGTCTCCAAGGGCCCGAGGGGGCCACCAGAGGATCCCGACATGGCCGGAGAGGACCCCAAGAGGGCCCCAAGACGGGCTCAGCTCCCCATGACAGGCCAAGAGGGACCCGGGACGACCCACGCAGTACACATTTGGAGCGAGAGATGGGTTCGCCATTTCGATGACATGCTTAATTTCAGTCTCATTAATTTAGTAGTGGCAGGGAACCATGGTGGCCGGCCGTGTACAGTGTACAGGAATGATGGTTTGGTTTTCGTGCGTCGTGGGGGGGGGGGGACATTCGGGCCAAAAGACACCCAGGACCGCCCAAGGCGGCCGAAGAGAGCGCCAACAGGGGCCCCGCGAGGGAATTCGAACCCACATTTCGAGACCTCCGCCCTTAGACCCCGACGATCGCCAGCAGGCCCCCAGGATGCCCCAAGACGGCACCAAGAGGACCCTCAAGAGAACCCGAAGAGGCAAAATCCCCCGGTTCCCGTGGCACCGTGGCAAAGCGTACATGTCTATCGCAGCGTCCACGACGGGCCCAGAGGCCCCTAGGAGAGCCCCCAACGGCCGAGAAGGTCCCCCAGCAGGCCCCAAGACGGCCCAAGACGGCCCAAGAGGCACACAGGACTGCCCAAGAAGGCCCCAAGAGGGGCTCGTGGGGGGGGGGAATGCGAACCCATATTTCGAGGTCTCGGCCCCAAGAGGACCCCGAAGATCGCCAGCAGGCCCCCAAGGACCCCCCCCCCCCGAGAGGACCCAAGAGGGCCACAAAAGGCCCCGAAGAGGCTCCGAAAAGCGTCCCAAGAGGCTTCACGCTTCACCATCGTTTCCAACAGGCTGCCCAGAGGTTTCCCCAGAGACGCGAACAGGCAGTCACGAAGTCTCACACCAACAACCCAGGCTCGGTGGCAAGATGTGCAGAAGGCCACCGGGAGCGGCACACGTGGACGAGGGGCACGGATGCCCCTCCTCGTTGTGTATTATTACTGCTGCTCGTCTTCAAGGACTCCACTTCTCCTTCTGCTCCTGCCCCCCCTTCCCGTTCCGCCCTCGTCTTCGCCGCCGTCATGTTCTTGGACTCTCCTCCCCCTTCTCGACCTTCTCTCCGCCCCCCTCGTTTTCTTCGTCGTCCTCCTGGAGTCCCCCGTGCTCAGGGAAGGGTTCTTCACTACGTGTTTCCGCAGCGCACTCGGGCTAAAGTCATATCCGCAACCGTCGCCCAGCCCTCGGCATCTCACTGCGAACTGGGCTTCGGGAGAATCTGAGCGCGCGCGAAGCGCGCGCGATGGTTCTAATACGTGTGCATGCATATATATAGTACGTTATACACATATATAGATGTGTATATATAGTGTATATAAAACACGTTCTCTCTGTCTCTCTCTCTCTCTGTCTCTTTTTTTTTGTTTTCTCTCTCTCTCTCTCTTTTCTCTCTCTCTCTCTCTCTCTCCCTCTCTCTTTCTCCTACTCTCACCATCTATGTCTCTTGCCCTCCACGCCTGCGTTCCCCGGTGCGCAGCGCCCTCATTTCCGCGGGGGCGGGGGCGGCAGCGCCATCGAACGAACTGCCAGATCGGTGAAGGACGTTTTCGGTGCTGTCCGGCGGGGCCCCTCCTGGCAGGAACAGCCTGTCGAGGGATTCTCGGCGGTGGCTCGCATGCCCCCCCCCCCCGTTTTGGCCTCCCGTGGGCCACGCCATGGCTCGTGGGCCGGTTCAGGAACGCCCGTGCACATCGCGAGCAGGCAGCCGCGAGATAGATCCTGCCCCAACAGGGGGGCAACTCGTGATTTGTTCGGCGGCCTTACTGAAGGACTGGGGTCCCACCAATAGGGGGTACCTAACTTTTGTTCCCGCGGCACCCGCCGCGCAACAACGACGAGGAGGAGGAGGAGCAGAAGTTGGAGGGGAAGAGGGGGGTGGAGGAGGAGGAAAGGTTTTAGGACTAGTCCTATTCACCGCCGAGTGAAAAGGGGGGGATCAAAACTAAAGACCTCCTGATG